GTAGACCGAGGCTAACTTTCGAAGATCATGTGAGCAAATTGCTCGAAGAGGGGAGGGTCAAGAGTACTCGGATACCTAGACGTGCATGTATGAAGAAGATAATGAAGCTGAAAGAAACGAAAGAGGTCTGTAAGGATCGTGACACTTGGCGATCTGTTCTCTCTGGCTACCCTGTCAGGTATTGTGCGTGAAGATAAGTAAGTAAAAAGTAAAGTAAAGTAATTAATTAAGTGCTCGACCAAACCAAATCTAATAGTCCTTGACAGCGTAATTCAACGCTCCTGAGGAGCCCTAATCTTCCCACCGACCAAGTGGGGACCACACAGCGTTGTGAACCCGAATCCAATAGAGCGCGAGCCGCTAACAGTCGCCACTCGGGTTGTACGCCTTCACTGAGGCCGTCGGCAACAGAAGAATTTGACATGTGGACTGTTGACGGCTCAAGGGCTCAGTGGAGGCGGCCGGGGTGGGAGCTAGGGCGGCAGCTAGCTAGGGCTGCCTCCATCAAAGTGGGGACGGCGGTACCCCATTCGCGGCCACTCAGCTAACGGGGGTGAGAAGGGTCTAGCTGACTGCTGAGTGGCCGTGAAGTTCCTCTCCACACGCTGAGGGGGACGACGACACCCCCGCCCCTGGGGGACGACCCCCCGAATGGTCGGGGGAGGGACCTCTTTCAAACATAGGGGCTCATTGGCTGGCAGGCGAGCGCCGAGCGGCGACGCTGGTGCGGGCAGTCTCGCTGAAGGTGCCTTTCCAAACAAGAGTAACACCAGCGGCGCTCCTTGGCGATAGTTCGCCTAGCCGGAACCGGCTTACTTAATAACTTCGGGCACGACGTCACCCGGTGATCGGAAGCTCGACAATAGGAACAGGGGGGCGCCTCTCTAGCCACTAGGCCACTGTAAGATGGTAGGGGGCGGAGCCCTCTCGCGGGAGCTCCGATCGGCTTTAGGGAGGTTGACGACGACTTGCCCGGCGGATCCCGCCTCTCACTCGGCACGGCTCGTAAGTCTTCAACATTGCCCGCCGCGTTCTCAATTTGCCGGCACTGCTCCTCCAAGAACCACAGCAGATCACTAAAGGGTGGAATATAGGAGGCACCGTCCCCGCCATACCTCTCCTCAAAATGTATCCTAAAGTCGAGAGGCAGGCGGGACAGCACGATGTGGAGCAACAAGAAGGACCATTCATCCACCGACAAATCCAGCCGTCTCAACGTATTACAGGCCATCAAGACTGGATTCAAGAGGTCCGGACGTAGCCTGGCCCGGTCCCTAAGCAGTGGGAGGCTTAGAGGCTGCCTGACGAATTCGTTCGCAATTCGCCGGACGTTGGCGTATCTTCCGGCGAAGAGGTCCCGAGCCGTCTGGTAGGCGTCGTCCGACAATCTCAAATGGCTGACGACGCGCAGGGCCTCCCCCTCCAGTGAGGTAAGGAGGTACGCCATCTTCTTGCTTGGTGTCAAATCGTTCCGGGCGTCCACTAGTCTACCAAAAAACCCTACAAAAGTCATCCTGTCGGAGGGGACCCCGGAGAACGTTGGCAGGTTTGGGAGTTGGGAGTCGTACCAACAGCTCTTGCTGAGTAGGCCGCTTCCGAGGCGACTCGGGCAGGCCACTCATCAGAGCTTCATTAGCATACTTGGCCCCAGCCTCGATCATGTAGTCCGTGAGTGAAAAGAACTGCTCGTAGTCCGCGAGGCAGGAGTCCAGGACTCCCTTTTCCACATCCGAGTCCTCGAGCTCCGCGTAAACCTCCTCCACTACGGCCCTTCGAACATCGACCTGCTCGAGCCGCTTCTCCAAACTAGACACTATCCGGTCGACCTATCAAAGCATAGCGGCCCAGCGCAGCTTCGCCTTCAAGGGACGAAACGGCAGCTTGTGCTATGGTATCATTACTAAATACAAATTACTACGCGGCTCAAATACAAATCAATTAACAAATAACAAATACAGTTCCTTTCAAATCAAGTTAAATACAAATTACACAAATACAAATTACTATTTATTAAATTAAATACAAATCACACTACACGGCAAGTACACACTACAGTCGGTCAAAAAAGATGCCTCGCTGAAGTGACCGACCCTTCGACAATTAATCTACTATAATTATACGACAACGATAATTATCCGATTACGTGATAACATTATCTACCTACTCAAAATACCTGACGCGTACCTAGCCTTAACAAACTCCCGCTTGCGCGGCTTAACGGGCGGGGTTCTTAAATCTACCCGCTAAAAAATTAAAAAAATATGTAATTTTTATTACGTACAATTTTTATCTATATTACGGCCGGGCGATTGGAGAACCAAACAACCACGCTCCCTGCTACCAAAAAATGTACACGCCCCTAGCTGTCCCCACAGAGATCGACTATACAGGGGCCCATACAGCTGTAGACTCGACGGATAACTAAGGATGGGGCCCAAATGGCCTTATGGACAATTAACCTACACGATCGGGATAAGGCTAGGAAAATTAATACGAGTTACCTGGTTCAGAAGCGGAGACTGGTCACAAGGCTCGGTCAGGCGATAGGTGTAGTGCATGTAAGTGGTGTTTGTTAGTGTGTAAAAAGGTGTGGGGCCTGACTTAACTCTTTTAGTCAGCAGCAACCCTGACTTCGGCACCGCCCCACGATGTGATATTCTCCAGCGGCGTCACCAATGGACAATTTCTTTCTTCAATTCACTATGTCAGTCTATCAACTTTATTGTCCATTTAACTAACTTGAAAACTCAACTAAATCCCGTTAATTATAATCAGAAACGTAACACGCGGCACGACTGATGAACGGTGGGTCAAAGTTCACTTCTGTTCACTCAGCAACAAATTATTTCGAGAACCGAACGTGACCTTCTAAGGCACTTAACGCAACGGTACAATTAAACATTAACTTCCAAACAATAAATCAACCCGGCGACTAATTTTCTAGACTCCACAACTTCTCGTCGTTGCCTAAATTTGCTAACAAAATCGACACAATCAGAGGTTATTATGTACGTGATCACGCGGCCTGAGTAGAGTCACTGCAATGCTACGACCCGGCCGCCGCTGGCGAGAAAAACTGCCCGATCTCCCACGCGTCCGGCGCGTGAGCGGGGAAGTGCGCGCGAGCCGCGTACAAGCCGGTGCTAGGTACGTCGGAGGAGCACGCCGACGCGCCCCATTATGTTGTTTTTAAATTTTAGCGTTTGGCGTAAATACTTTTATATATTTTAATTGGCCTAACACTGAACACTGAAAGTAAGACATATTTACCTCATTAAAATACCTGATTTGCTTATAACATTTAAATGCATATTAACCTATTAATATGTATATAATATTATCTAATCGTAGTCAACTAGAATTTACAATTAAATGCAAATTCTCAAAGACAGAGATACTAAGAATCAATTCTGTCGGAAACTTCATTCTGTTCCTAATTGTCTTCTCTCACATAATATTGTTATTATACAACTTATGGTCTGTTGTCTGCTTGCGTCTGGTAAATTTAGAGTATCATTGTCCTCATTGCTTTGAGTGGTATTTTAACGTTGATTATAAGTCTTGTGATAAATAAATAAAAATGCAAAGCTACTTCCGTACTCAGTTCACTAACTCGCCTGCCTTAGAGTGGCGGTTATGATAAATTCTCCCACTTCGGGAGTAAACTTTGTTCAGCAATGAATAATAAAAGAACAGTTAAGACTTTTGATTAATTGTATTTTGAATAATTAGCCAATATTGCAATGCGTTTAAAAAATAATGGAAGTACAAAAAAGGATTTAACATGGCATGGGTCTGTACGCTGTAAGTTTACCAAAAGACGTCTCGCATTGCAGTGATTCAACTAATATAAGTAGCTACGTGAGGCGACGGAAACAAATGTGAGGTATGTGCTTTTGGCGAGCTTTTTGCACCGTTGTTTGGTGATGAGGGTCGCGTCAACTAAAATGAATATTTTGTTGAACACAAAATTATTTTTGTAAGATGCATATTATTCATTTTAATATAATTGTAGTTTATGCTTACATGAGTGAGTAAACACTTTTGGAGTCCCAAATAATTGTTAATCGCGTATTGTTATAAGATGATCGCTCTAGTACATCTCAAGCAATGTTAGATAATGCACGGCTGCTCATTTAGGTCATAATATTGTGTATTATTCCATTAGTAGCAGCGCTTTTGCTGGCTAAATCTATTGCACTGTTAATAATAATCAAGCTTACGTCCGATTTGATCATAATATTCTGTTAAGACCTAATGTAACAATATGGGATATGTTCCAATTAAGACTTGCTGGACGTCTATTACAATTAGCATATAACTACACAAGTCTATTGGAGCATTTCTCATTTGTACTTTTTAAATGAAAAGTCCATCTTAAGTAATATTACAACACGCTTCCGTATTGTTTACTACTTGTGTAATTTACTTGATATATATTTGAATTCTGGCTAACATGTTCCTTTGTTTTTTTCAAAATTTTAATTAGTAGTATCACAAAGATCTAACGTATCCAGTCAAAAGGGTTTCCAGTTCCCTACACTCACCATACGTAAGACAGCAGTATTACGCTGATATTTTACGCTGCGAGAGCGTGGTTATACCTCGGTCGATCCGATCCATTCATGCTACAACCATAATACAGCTGCAGCGTGGCTCTACTACGTAAACATTTTTAGGCAGTGAAAAGTCCTTTTGATAGACTAGAGCACCTTTATAAATGTAAATGTTTGTCGTAATCACTACTTTTGGGAGGGAAATTACGAGCCACGATAACAAATTAATGTTGCGTATATTTGATGATGATCCCCGTCGCCGGTCCAGGTATTTTAGTTATAAAATGCTCGAAATTATAAACCACCACCTATCGCTGGCTACGAGGTCTCTAATATAGCTTTCCCATAATAGACACTAACGAGACGAAATGCGGCGACAGAATTCTTCTACACTGCTGCCGACAAGTAGCATTTCATACCAATAATTAAAAAATTAATACTAACCATAAAGTCTGATCACACTGTCTACTTCACCAAGGGAGTTTTTAGCCACGCATCTGTAACCGCCGAAATCGGTCTTCTCCAATCGACGGACTGTGAGTGTCATACGACTCTCAAATGAACTCATCATTGTATTCACCACTTCATACTTGTTTGACGATATCACCATTTCATCTGATAAAATGAAAAAAATCTCAATTAGTCTTGACTTGTTTAGTAACTACCATTTTAGTATACAAACGTGGTTATAGTAGTTAAATAAAAATAAAAAAACTCTCCCTGGTATTAATTGCAGACGAGCAAAAAGTTTTATATCCTGAGTTTTAGCATTATGTCGAAGCTTTGAATCTGTTTGAAAAATAACGAACCATAATAAATACGACTAAAGTAGTACCTAACATTATAAGATTTTTCTTACATTTTGCATTAATAATTAAAAACTCACAAAAAAAGCATATTATTTTTTTATAAAAACTTTAATGAACTTTTTTATCATTTCTCACTACTACAACAACCCATCATAAGTCCACAGATGAAAATAATACCCCGTAAATAACCATCCATCGATAGCTTGCGTGTTCATCAGTTCATCACTCCATCTATGGGGGGCGGGGGTTGTCGCATTTCATTGCCGTGTAGTAGCGGTGTAATGATATCCACTACCACATATCATCTCGTGGGTGTCGTAAAAGAGCCGACAGAGGGAAACGGACCTAGAAGATGGACAGCAGCATCGTCTTGATAATAGTTTAATAAAAAAAAAAAACAACAACAGCGGTAGTTAAGCCTGGCAATTATGCCATAAATATCTTCTATTATTTGTAATTTTTTGGTAAATGATTTTTATTGAAATAAGTCTATGTAACTGATTTTTCTAATTCGAGTTTCATATACAGATTAATTAATTAGAAAACTTCAGTGAAGATAAAATTATTTTATAAAGACTTTAAAATTGCTGCCATTTCCTTGTACGTCCCTGACGATATAAACAATCCTTCCATCCCGTGATGTCGTTCACCCTCGCAGAGCTTAGTAAGCCCCGGCGTCTGTTGTCCGCAAATGATAAAGTGACTAGCTTTCTTACGAAAATACTGTTGCGTTCTACTACACCTCGCGCTCGTTTTAGAGCTCCTATTTTCTCTTTTATTTGCTGTATAACGTGCGCTTTGAAATTGTTTAATAGAGAAAATTTACAATAGATTATATAAATAAATACCTTTAGAATCACCTTTTACGTGAAACGTGAAACACCTGGATTAGATTTATAAATGAATCTTATTTTATTAGAATACACATGAAAAAATTAAATGTTTAGTTTATTACAATTTCCTTGCAGTACACGTATACGTCAAGTTAACCTTTATATTAATTTTGCATGAAAGTAAGCATCTTTATAAAGATACTTAATATAATAGGCATAGATATATTAAATTTGTTAGTTTAATGTAATTAAATATATTATTAAAGTATTAATACTGACTTTGAGATGGCCACATTTAATCTTTAGCCTTTTATCCGTAATATAAATCGCGATAATTCCATTTCAATTATATATTTATACATTAGTAGCAAATGTAAAACAGAGGCAAAATTAATATTATTTTATTAATGATGTTACTTTATCTGTTTGTAAGGAGCTTCAAAGGAAGAGATTACGTTAGAAATCTCTAATCTTAATTTCGATCGGAACTTCTGTTTGTTCGCTCCAGCTTACTTCGTAGACTTTACAACGTGCTGTCAAGATGACCTTCAAACAAATAACAGAATGTACGCGACGTTACCCGCAACTCGTTTTATTAAGCAAGAAATTTCATCTCAATTAATGTCTAAAATAACACTGTAATACTCTTAATAACGCTCGAGTGAGGCCTGCTTAATTAACACTTACATGTCAGCCGTCCTAACATAGATTGATGACAAACGAAAATGACGATCCAGTGCTGTACACCCTTTCGCGTTGGTTTTCGTTGCGTATCGTAGGAAAGCGCTAGTCATTCCCAGCAAGTTCTCGACCAAACAAAAGCTTGATCGACGGCTGCCGGTTGTAACATGAATCACACTACTGTTACAAACAAATTGATTCTTTAATGCGTTTTATTAGTTAAGTTATGACTTGGTCACGATAACGAAAGGTTGTTTAATTATGTTAAAGTATCAGAAAACGAATCTGCTTTGTGGGTTCCTAAAATATTTCAGGCCAATAATTACAAATTTATTTTTTTACGGATTTTATCGCGTTTAATTTACTATTTTAATTCCCGACGTTTCGGGTGCTTTACAGCAACCCATGGTCACGGGGGGTTCGCGTAAATATTAGAAATCATTAATTCCAAATTTGCTTAAAGAATAATTTTATTTATTGATCAGTATAAAAAAAACTATGTTTGTGTTACAGAACATAATATCAAATACAATTTTGTATTTTTAAACACTTTTTTTTACAAACATTTACCACATTTGCAATAAAAAAAATTAACATACGTACAATATTGGAGTATAATTACTTAGTTGTAACAACCTTGTACAAGTATTGGCCATTCCACTGTAGTTGTTACGACCGTTTCTGAAGCCCCTAAGTGTTTGCACTGGAGCGCTGTAAACTGCATCACGTAATAGAATAAGAGGAAACAAAGCTCCTTTACTGAAATGAGGCCACAAACTATCCTAATGAAACAACCTAAGCTACAAAGAATATCTCGGTGCACAATACTCCGTATTTTATATTTATAGGTAGAACATGTTACAGTTCGTACAATATAACGCATACATATTGCATCGCATTGACCAATTATCTTTCCTTTCTTTCTATAGCAAAGGTTTTTTATTTGTCTACAAACTATGATAAAAAGGTATAATAACGAGATAAAGTTCAGCATGATACTATATTGATCATTTATATTATAACATCACTACCGCTAACAGCTGGTTAAACTGCGCTAGCTAGCAAACATTTTTGGAAAATTTGTCAATACTCACTATGCTAGGCAAGCGGGTGTGTAGAGCCGAAACTTACAAACTCTATATAGCTGTTGACATCCACCACTATAAAATTGGGGATGACGTATTGGATGTTTCTGCTGTCAATCGTTCGCTGGCTATGTGTAATATTTCTTCATCCATCAACATTTTACACGTGGTAGAGTCTCGCAGCTGCTTAATTATGATTGCAGTACGAATGGGTCGAATGAACCGGTGTAAGACCACGCTCTTACAGAAAACCGTCTTTTAATAGCAGCTTAATTAATTCTGCTGTATTTTGTATGGTGACTGTAGAAAACCGGACACTATTTCTACTAGAAACAAGGCATTCCATCTTAGTCCTCAGGTGTGATTCTCTACTTTCAGGGGTGTAAATGTCTATGAGCCACAGCATCCACTTACCATCAGGTGGACTATGTTCTCACGGGTCTCACTATTCTATAAAAAAATCAACGCGTGCGGGTGAGTTTTATGTAATGAAATAGTTGGCGTAGTCCTGCTAAAATAACCATTATTTTTAGGAAAAATATAACAGTGAAAAAGATAATCATAATTCAGTGTAAAGTTCGTGGTCATATTTTACAGCGACATACATTCATTTTTAAAATACTTTTAAGAAAATGTTATATATTTTTTATTATTATTGTTAGTTAGTTTTGTCATTTTTGTAACAATAATACTGTTGGTTAAAGTTACAGCCTATATGCGTCCCACTGCTAGGCACAGGCCTCCTCTCAATTCTGAGAGCGTTGTGGGCCGCGCTACCCCAATGTGTGTTGGCGAAGTTCATATATCTTTGAAATATTTTGTTTTTCTATTTTTCAGACATACAGGATTCTTCACGATGTTTTTCTTCACCGCAGAACACGTCATCAATCAGGACTTAAAATTGCCGTGGTTGCTCAGGAGAGCCGTGGTAGTTCAAGGACTAAGCGCTCGCTGTAAATTTTGCAGTTCGAGAGGAACCTGGGTTCGATCCCCGCCGGTATAAATGATAGTATTGTTACCAAGACAAAATAAACTCACTTGTACTTCAGTGAAAATCGATGCGATTATGTTTTTTAGCATATTGGTTGCTCGGTGTTATAGACATTTAAGCACATGGTCGATATTTAGGAGTAAGGTAAAATTATATGTAATAAGTATAAACATAATATATACTATATCAATTCAGTTGGAGCAGTGTTATACTTAGCCGTATTCGGGTAGTGCGTAAAAGAATCCACTATCGCATATCATTCTATGGGTGTCGTAATAGGCGACAATAGGAAATAAAACGATAACAACACAAAGAAAATTAAAAAAGAACTGAGGTTACCAATTCGACTATTGGGGAGTCCTATTATCAGCAGTGGGCTTTCGTTAGGCTGTAATAATGATGACAGTGCTGAATGGTGTAGTTTATAAAAGTAAAATTAGTCTTAAACTTCAAACTAAGTAAATTACTTATTTATTCGATTTTAAAACGATCGAAAAAAAGATTGTATGCGAACCAAGCTGCGGGCTTTGAATGTAATTGCTTTAAAATTGTTATCTTTAACTTCATACTACATTTATTTTTGGCATCAATGGGACACTCCTATTTATCGTTCAAAATAACAAATGCCAAGGAAAAAGTATTTGGTGACAAAAAATCGCCACAATATCAAATCAACCCCTTACCTTTACGGGTACCAAATTGTTCGCTGTTAAAATAATGCGTCACGCTTTGCCTGGAAACGAATCCCTTGGCGTACTGAATTTGCTCTTTCCACCTTTTTATAAGAGAAAATATACCTTTTTAGACATTTTCGCTCTATATAACACCAACAACGCGTGACCGATTTGAACTTAAAATGACAAGTATTTATTTACTACATTATTAAATTTTGAATTGCTGTGTTCCGAAACACTGAAAAGTATTTCGTGAAACTTAAAAATACTAGAAGCTCTAAAACCGTTTCCCATTGAAAATTAATCCGTAAATTTCAGGCGACAACTGCTGAGAAGAGAACTTTGCGAAACCGCCGACGGCTATAGAGGGGAAGAAATATGAAGTAAAAGCTCGAATCGCTCTATCCAGCTCATTACAGCTCGTTTTCTTACAGGCACTGAATGTAACAGTTGCTTAATCTGAAACATCTGATTTATTGCTTCTGACAAGCCATCTGTAAGTAATTTTTACAACTTAAGCTACTTTGCAGTTGTGTTAATAT